CAGGGTCTTTTTGAAAATTTTGCAATTTGGGATACCTCCTGTATCTCTGTTATTGTTAAAGCTATCGAGAAGGTGAAAACTGTTTATTGTAGAACTTTTTACGTAGAATACAGTGGCGTAGTCTGTTTTTCTACAAAAAAAATATTTTTGAAAATATGAACTAAAGTTATGTTTTTTTAAATGGAACACCCTGTATATTTATAAATCATATGATCTGTCTTGCCATAAGCTTCTCAAAAATACATATCACTCTATATTTATTTTCACTATTTACTGCAATATTTAAAAGTTTTTATTAAAAGATCATATTTATTAGTAGGCCATGATTGATAATAAAAGAATCTAAAGAATTATTAAAAGTATACTGCTATCTGTCTTTTGTTTTATTTTGGGAGCCGCTAATAAATTCTTTATATATTAGGGAAACTTAAGTCTCTACCGCTATTTGTAAATCTTGGAATACGTGTATACGTAAGACTAATCTATCGTATCGGAAATTTTAGATATTCCTTTAGCTAATTTACGTCAAATATACTTTCAGCAAGATGGGGAACATTCCCCCACATAACTATGGAAATATTAGAATACTGTTAAATTATTATTTTTCAAATCAATGAATTGGAACCAATGAACACATATTGATAGCCTCCTCGATTCCCGGATTTCGTCGTTCTCGATTTCTGATTTTGAGGATTTTCGAAATACGAAATATATCGTGGGCACTACAACAATTTCGAACACCTGAAAAATGCTTTAATAATTCAAGATTTAGATATTTGCAAACCCATCCCGTTATAAAAAAAGAAAAATATATTCACAGTTTCAGTGGTAACAGTTATTTCGAAAGTAAAATATATCAATCCCAGATAAATTTTAATATGTGTATGACTATTTTAGTAAATACCATTTTGATTTTTTGTTATTTATCACGGCCTACTAATAAGAAAATGATATATTTTAAATATTGCAGTAAATAGTAAAAATAAATATAGAGTGATATATATTTTTGAGAAGCTCATAGCAAAACAGATCATATGATTTATAAATATATAGGGTGTTCCGTTTGAAAAAACATAACTTTAGTTCATATTTTCAAAAATATTTTTTTGGTAGAAAAACAGACTACGCCACTGTATTCTACGTAAAAAGTTCTACAATAAGCAGTTTTCGCCTTCTCGATACCTTTAACAATAACAGAGATACAGTGGGTGTCCTAAATTGCAAAATTTTTGAAAAGACCCTGTAGCTCAGAAATGAAGAGGGCTATGAAAATTTTGTTTGCAGCATCTTCCGTTTGACGAAAAAGTGGGACAGGTTTGTGCAAACCGCACCCTTCTATCTTCACTAATAACGGAGATACCCTATGATTTCAACCAAAATGGGACACACTGTACACACTTTATTGAGCAACAAAAAATTTAACTTAACTGTTAACTGTCACGAAAGTTATAAAATATATTGATTGTCGATAGTTAGGGACAAACGTATTTAATTGTAAAAAATTGGACTATTTTAAAAGGTTTTTAGAGTAGAGAAGAATGTAAATTTAAAGTTATTTTTTATTTTTTATAGTTAGTTATAGCGTAACTATATAATAAGCATTGCAAAAGCTTTAGTATTGTTTTAGATACATTCTTGACCTTAGAATTATTTTATTCAAAGCGTTTCCTGTACAGGGCGTCTCTGTAAATAAGTGCAAATCTTTTAAAAGGTGGTAGGTGTGAGAATTAAGAAATATATTTTTTATTTTCCATTTTCAAAATAAACTGAATGGCAATTTTTGCAAAAAGAAACTCATAGGCGTTTGAACTATACTGGCAGTATTTAAAAGATACCCTGTATAGGTATTGAAACAAGAGAAAAATCGAAATTCCTATAAGTATATACAAGTATAAATACCCGAAAATCACAGTGCATTTTTTTTAATGGTGCGTTATATTTTTTCGTTTTTTTTTCGAAAAATTCTCGTATGTTTATAATTACATTGAATTTTACAGCTTACTGTATGGTAGATATGCGTTTTTAACAATATTTGGTTATAATAATACGTAAATATCTCTTTTCTATTGGCAAAAATTCGTGGATAGGTTTATATCACACTGAAAATTATACCGGGTGTTGCATCGTCGAGCGGGACATAGGAAATCCCATGTAAATTTTAATGGGGTCAATTATTGGCTTCCCTAATTACTTTAGAGAATAATTCTATTTAAGTTTATTGAAGAGCACTAAAACACACATTCAAAAGAATAACTTTAGATATTTTTATTAGCCCGTTTACGAGTTATCGCCGATTTCTTTTTAAATATTTCTCCTTTCTTATGGCTCTGTATTTACTTATGAGCACCAGTCAAAGTAAAAGATAACTGTTAAATGAAGTTGTCATTTCAGAAATTTATCTATTTAGTGCTTTATTATTATTATTATTAAAAACTCATACCTACGTCGAAAATATTAGCCATGAATTACACTACCGAAGAAAAAGTATTGATGATTAAATGGTATTATCAAGGAAATAGTTATCAAAAGGTGTCAGACATGTTTGCTGCTCTGTATCCGAATAGACCAATACCTGGAAAATTTACAATCGCAAGGAATATCCAGAGATTTGAGACCAAAGGTACCCTAATAAATAACTGCAGATGTGAAGCAAAGCAGGAACATAAAGAAGATGCCAAGAAATGATACTGACTTGGAAGTTTTATTGTGCGTGGAAAAGAACGATGGAAAGATCTGCACAAGGAAACTTGAGGATGAAACAGGAATAGATCACACTACAGCGTTTCGAATTTTGAAACGACATAAATACTATTCCTTCAAATATGAAAAGCACCAAGAGCTACGAGATGGGGACGAAATACGGCGGCAGGCTTTTTGTTTTGATATGATGGAAAGAGCAAACACGGATAGGGAATTTTTAAAAAACATATGTTTCACTGACGAATGCAAGTTTACCTTAAATAATGAACCCAATGTTCAAGATTATCGATATTGGAACAAAGAAAATCAACACAGGTTTGTCGAAACAAGGACGCAATATCCACAAAAAGTAAATGTTTGGGCAGGGATATTCGGGCACAATATTATCGGGCCATTATTTCTTACGCGAAATTTAAATGCAGAATATTATTTGGAACTACTCGAAAATCATATTTTACCTGCTTTACATGATGCTGCTAGGGAAATTCAGGAAGTTTGGTACCAAATGGATTTCTGTCCGGCACATAGTACCCTGGCTGTTCGGGAATATTTAGACAATAGTTTTAACGGAAACGTTATTGGCCTAAATCATACAGTAAATTGGCCAGCAAGGTCTCCTGATATTTCGCCAAATGATTTCTTTCTCTGGGGCCATTTAAAAAACAGGATATACAAGGATAAAAAATACCCAAATCTAGACAAGTTAAAAATGCATTTCTGCCGAATGCAATAGAATTTCATTTTACCAACTAGCGAATGTAAGAAGAGAATTTTATGATCGCCTGGGTTATTGTCTAGCAGTCGACGGAGGAATATTTGAACATCTTCTTAAATCCTAAAGTTCTAACAATTTAATAGTACCTAAATTAATAAGTTATTGAATATTGTAATAATACCATAATTAACCTTGTAATTGATTACTTTATTTTACTTTAATTCATATTAATTTGTATTTATAAATACATCTTTAAGATTTCCGATGTAGGAATGAGTTTTCAATAACAATAAAGCACTAAATAGGTAAATTTCTGAAACGACAACTTCATTTGACAGTTATCTTTTACCTTGACTGGTGCTCATAAGTAAATACAGGGCCATAAGAAAGGAGAAATATTTAAAAAGAAATCGGCGATAACTCGTAAACGAGCTAATCAAAAATATCTAAAGTTATTCTTTTGAATGTGGGTTTTAATGCTCTTCAATAAACCTAAATAGAATTATTCTCTAAAATAATTAGGGAAGCCCATAATTGACCCCATTAAAATTTACATGGGATTTCCTATGTCCCGTCCGACGACGCAACACCCGGTATAGGTATCTAAAAAAAATTCTACGCAATTTATTTTACTTTTGAACATTTATCATAAACTCAAAAAAAAAAGAATTAAAGAACAATGATTTTTTGAGTGAATTTGATCACCTGGATTGCTTACAAAAATTACTTATTTTTCTTTAAACTTATTTAGGAAAACTCAAAAACAATATGAACTTTATAAAAACTTTACACTGAACTTTTGATATATAAAAGCTATGACCGGACGAAAATGTATTCCTTTTCGAATGACAGATGCATAGATGTAGAGAAAAGCAGTCAGAATAGTGTGTGTTTTTTAATAGATTTTATAATAACAAATTAATTCTATATGTGCTATATCTTGTAACCTTTTAAGCAGTTTTTTGATCTATGAACATTCTTCTTCCTATTTGGCATATTAATTTAACCACTGACATGTCATTTCAAAATTCGTAATATACAGTGTAGTATCTGTATAAAGTAACCACTCATACATGTTGGCAATTTTGTACAGGGTGAGTCAAATACAGAGTTCATTAACTTGTTTGTTTACAGAATTACGAAAATATGTTAAATAAAACAGTTTTAGCGAATATTAAGATACACAATTTAAAGTTATTGTTGAATATACAGAGTACTTGTTGTGTCCCTTGCTTGTTTAATTTGCAATACTCTATTTTTTATTATTTTAACACTTGACATACCTAAAAAAAAGTTGTAGAATTTTGTAAAATCTATTGGAAAAAATAATAATATAGTACAATAAGTTGGCTGTAAAATAAAGACCGCTGTTATTTTATACGTAAAATTATATGGGGAATATCATCGATCGTCATTTCTAGGCCAACTGGACGCCGTTTTATTTCGGTCATACGGTATTATGTGCCAATTAAAAGAATTGAGAATTTTTAATTTAAAACATTTGAAATTTATACAGGGTGTCCCAGAAATAAGTGCAAGTATTTTAAGGGGTGGTATATCTGGTCAAAAGAAACGTTTTCTTCTCTTTACCGGTTATTTAAGACTCACCCTATATAAAAATATAGAATTTTAGCCAGAGAGATCTAAAAATACAACAAAAGATAGCGTGACACATTTAAGAAAACGTATATTATATTCGCCACACATTTTTGTTACACCCTGTAAACTGAAAAATAATTTTGAACTGTGTTTCTTAACATTCTGTAATTCTCAAAACATTTTACTCCATCGTTGACTCACTCTGTACAAATTAACCAACTTCAGTCACCGTATAGTAAAAATATACGACAATACCTCCTTTAATCTCTTTTTTTTATCAATTTTCTTATCCCCTGAAATCTACTTGAGCATCCCAAACCAATAAACCACACTTTTACTTTTCACAATACTCTTAATATTGCCTAGAATTGAAACTATATTGCCTCCCATTAGCCAACAGTTCCCTGGACTCAGACGGAGTCCCTGGACTGACACTAGCCGTCGTAGTGGTCGACATAGTTTCCCTCACCAACTCCAAAGGCTTCACCTCCATCTCACACCTCTCCATATCCTCCTCCATAATCTTCTCCAAGTGAGCTTCACCGTTCAGAACTGTTACCGGAGCCGACTTACTCAAAGGAGAATGAACTGAAACCAACTCCGTACCGTTTGACTTGCTCTTGTCTTCTCGTTGCTGTTCAAGAAGTCTCCTGTGGTGTTTAGTGGTCAGACATCCAGTTTCAATGTCCCTTTCCAGTCTGTGTCCACTCCTGGACCTGGTGAGTTGGCTGCGAACGTATTCTTGAAGTTCTTGCTCTTCTTTTCTGCTCACGATCTTGTTGAGACCTATGAGGAAGATTCCTACGGCTGTGACAAAGATTCCTGTCATGGTGAGTTCGTTCCACCAACCGCCGCTTTTCCAGGTGAGGAGATCGTCAGGAAGAAGTCCGGAACCAATGAGGAACAGTCCTAGTACCAAAAAACAGACTCCGATGTGAAGGAGGCCTATCGAGGAGACTTGATAGCTTTCTGCTTGGTGGAAACTGGGCCTTCTGTGGGTCATGTGCTCCATGCTGTCCATGCTGTTGGTTTTGGAAGAGAGTCTTCTTTCCAGAGCTCTCTTCTTGGCTTCGCGTTCGCGTCTTCTTCTCTGGCGTTTGATGGCCATGGCCGAGTGCAGTCCAGCCGACCCGTGCATCTGGAAGCCAAGGGAACAGAGTTTGAGTCATATGGGAGCTGAGTTTTGTGTGGTTTTGGAATGGCATGCGAATCACACTGTATACACTGGCACTGCACTCACTCACACACTTTTTAGCACACACTGTAACAAAATGATGCGAGTGCGGATTTTTATTAAAGCGTTTTTTTTTTGTTTTTTTTTCGGCTTAAAAATAACGTCCCCATGGTGCACAGATTGTGTGTTCTAGAACAAAATTTGTTGAACCTGTATAAATATTTTTAGATATTTTTATTCAAAAAAATACAGGGTGTAAATAAACGAATAGGTGAAAATTAAATTTAGTTTTTAATTTTGCTATTTTCACTTTTTTTTTCGAATTGGTGTTTCACTACAGATTTATTTGATTATACAGGGTGTCTCTCAAATAAGTGCAAGTATTTTACCAGAGAGTATATTTCGCCTCAAGAAAAACTTTTTTCTTGATATTTTGACATATTCCGAGAAATTACAAAAACTTTTTAGTGTCGTAGGCTCTCGAAATTATTAAATGTATATTGAAATCTTGCAGTGTTGCCATTATGCCAATTAGCCATATTCTGCATATTTGTTTAATTATACATTTATTAAGTTTACAGAAATTTTAATTTTCTATGCAATAAATATCGATTTTTTTAAAAATTTATATCAGTGGCTTTACTAACAATTATTATAGAAAAAGCTATTGTTTAATTATAAATTAAATGCATTGTAAATAGAAAATCTACATATACAGGGTTGTTCACCACATACGACACGGAGTATTGTAGCTAAACGATGAAATTTTTACATATTGTAAGTTTTGGGTTCGTTGAAGGACTATTAGAGCTACAATTTAAAAATATTTTTACAAAATACAGAGTGTCCCAAATAAGTAAAAAATATCAAAGCTGTATTTTTTAAATGGAACACCCTGTATATTATTACATTTTTAGTTTCTACGATTAAAATAAAGGTAAATTTGATCAAGTTTTATTACACTTAAACCTTACCGTTTTTGAAATATTTTCAATTTTGTGAAATTGCAGTAAAAATTTTAAGGCTTCATTTCTCCAAGGGTATCCATGTTTTTAATACTAAATATTTACTAAAGTTTATTTATTGATCAGTTATTGTGTTGCAATAATAAAAATAATACAACCTTATACAGAGTGTCTAAAAATTTATTTTAAATAATTATTAGCTTTCAACGGCAATAACTTGTTTAATTTAAATGGAACACCCTGTATATTTTATGAGAATCAGATGCACAATTTAATTGTCTATCAAATTGTACTATAGTATTTTTTACCTATCTCTTTAAGTTTCGGTAGAAAATGCATTTTCTTGTAATTTAAAACTTATTTATCAATATACCCATGGAATACTGACATTTTAGATTATTTTTAAAGAGTACAGATACTAATATTGTCGATATAATTCGTTTATTTCATTAAAAAATCAAAAAAACTGTTTAAATATTTGTTAAAGAGGACCAATTAATATGATTCCAGTATTCAAACTACATTAACTGCCTGTTTACGTTGATTAATATTAATTGCCTCAAATACTAAAAAACTGAGTTTTGTATGTGTATTAGACAGTGTGGTAAAAAGTAACACCTTAAAAATGATATTTTATTATTTAATAAATGCTTATTTATAACAACAGAGACGTTCATTTTCATAACTTATTATTATATTGATTTATGATTCAAATCCACATTTATTTAGAATAATTTTTTAACGAGCACAATTAAGTATGTAATTAATTAGTATTTGGGTGGAAATAATGGTGTTATATTTAATTAATGGTATACGCTTTTATAAATATTTAAATAGTTTTCTTTTTGCCTACAAATGGGCTAGTAATATTACCGTTTTGCTAAAAACAATAATATTACTAGCCCGTACATTTTGTACATTTGTTGTTTTAAAGACAATCTAAAATGTCAATATTCCATGGGTATATTCATAAATGAGGTCTAAATTATAAGAAAATGCATTTTCTACGAAAACTTGAAGGAATAGGTAAAAAATGGTATAATACAATTTGATAAACAATTAAATTGTGCATCTGATTCTCCTAAAAGATACAGGGCGTTCCATTTAAATTAAAGAATTTATTAGCGTTTAGAGCTAGAAATTATTTAAAATAATTTTTTAGACACTCTGTATGAGGTAGTATTATTTTTATTATTGCAACACAATAACTGATCAATAAATAAACTTCAGTAAATATTTAGTATTAAAAAGTTTGATACCCTTGGAGAAATGAAGCCTTAAAATGTTTACTGCAATTTCACAAAATTGAAAAAAATTCAAAAACGGTACGGTTTAAGTGTAATAAACCTTAATCAAATTTACCTTCATTTTAATCGTAGAAACTAAAAATGTAATAATATACAGGGTGTTCCATTTAAAAAAATACAATTTTGATATTTTTTATTTATTTGGGACACTCTGTATCTTGTAAAAATATTTTTAAATTGTAGCTCTAATAGTCCTTCAACGAACCCAAAACTTACAATTTGTAAAAATCTAATCGTTTAGCTACAATACTCCGTGTCGTATGTGGTGAACAACCCTGTATATAAAATGCTAATGTTTATCTGTGTCGTCTCTACTGAAGTAACGACATGCTCTAGAAAGTTGCTTTTTTTACTACAAGATAGCTAATTGGCTCTTCTAAAATCTATCGTCGCCGGATTTTTGCGCCAGGCTTCAACTACATAGTATGTTTGTAAAAATAGCTTTAAATACTGGCACTTATCTAAGATACACCCTGTATAGAGTAAATTAAAATCACACTATTACCTTTTTTTTCAAAAATGTTTTATTCAAGAATTTTAAAATAGAATTCTTACTTAGCTTTGTCATATACAGGGTATTCAAATAGTTACTTTAATTAATAACTTAAGTTTTTTTTCGAAAAATTATCTTGCGTCTAGCAGTGAATTTAAAAGCTCTTTTTATTCACTCAATTCTTTTGGCACTTATTTATTTACACCCTGTATATTATACACTGTCGAGCATGAACAGTCCGCATCAAATGGGTTATTCTAACTCACAATGACTCATTTTATCTTTGGTTTTAGTTTTGTTCCTCCCTGTATTAATTATAATTATTCAACAGGTATACCGGGTGTTGCATCGTCGGACGGGACATAGAAAATCCCATGTAAATTTTAATGGGGTCAATTATTTATTGGCTTCCCTAATTATTTTAGAGAATAATTCTATTTAGGTTTATTGAAGAGCACTAAAACCTACATTCAAAAGAAGAACTTTAGATGTTTTTGATTAGCTCGTTTACGAGTTATCGCCGATTTATTTTTAAATATTTCTCCTTTCTTATGGCCCCGTATTTACTTATGAGCACCAGTCAAGGTAAAAGATAACTGTCAAATGAAGTTGTCATTTCAGAAATTTACCTATTTAGTGCTTTATTATAATTGAAAACTCATTCCTACATCGGAAATCTTAAATATATATTTATAAATACAAATTAATATGAATTAAAGTAAAATAAAGTACCGTAAAATGGGGTGAATAGAAACATAGTGGTGAATAGAAACAAAATTTCTGAAAAAAATCAAATCACGATAAAAATATTCAAAGTAAAAAGAGTCGACATATCTAATTTTTCTATCATTGGTAATACACAATAAAATGTAAAAACTATATTTTTATCTGTGGCAGCACTGTTTCTGTCAATCAGTTGATCAATAAATGTGAGATCGATTTATCACCTATTTGGTATGGCGCGAAAACTTTAAAATAAAATATTTATTTTTAAAGTAATACATAAGCTGGTACATGTAAGTTGTCATATTATATGTATTGTTATTTATTGTTAAACCTACTTAAATATGTAATAATTTACTGTTTCTAATCACCTTGTTGGAAGTAGAATAGATAAAAACCTAAACATCAATGTGTGTTTCTATTCTCCCCAATAGCAGGTGAATAGAAACACCAATGTTATTTTTATTTAATATTTATATGCATATTTTTCAAAAATCAAATTATATGTATACGCAAAGAACAAACAAAGACCCATGTTTTAAAATATTCGGGAAAATAATACCACATTTTTATCAACCGGTATATCGCTAATAGCCTACGAAACTGTTTCTATTCACCCCATTTTACGGTAATCAATTACAAGGTTAATTATAGTATTATTACAATATTCAATTACTTATTAATTTAGGTACTATTAAATGACAACTTCATTTGACAGTTATCTTTTACCTTGACTGGTGCTCATAAGTAAATACGGGGCCATAAGAAAGGAGAAATATTTAAAAAGAAATCGGCGATAACTCGTAAACGGGCTAATCAAAAATATCTAAAGATATTCTTTTGACCCCATTAAAATTTACCTGGGATTTCCTATGTCCCGCTAGACGATGCAACACCCGGTATATTCCATAATAACAATCTTATATCTTTTTAAAAACTATAAAATTCCCATTTGATTTGGACTATACCTATACTGTAAGTTTCTTACGTAAAGTTTATATCATATTCTAAAACATTTATATTACACCCTGTATAAGTCCTAACATCGTATATATCTAATACACCAAAAGCACAAAGTTCTAAAATATATAAAAAATATTCCTTTCCTGTACGGTTCTGTTTAGTTAAACACTTTTTCGTACACTTAAAACACTGCAATAGGGACATTACTTTTGTTTGATAAAACTACGAAAATCAGTGCACTAAAACTAGATGAATAAAAAGAAAAAAGCACATGCAAAGTAGTCATAAGGTTGGTTATTTATAACTTGAACACTAGTGTACACTTCAATCGCAAAAATAATAGTGTTTAAATCAACTACAGAAAATACAAAATGTAGAAATTATTGAAATTAAACTACTAAAATGTGTGTCGTTGTTTTATACAGAGTCGTCATAATTTTTAGTGCATTAGGAATTGTTACTGAACAAAATAATACTTGTAAATCCATAAAAGTAGGTAATTCTAGTAGTAGT